ATACATATATGTATAGTAAACTTTATCTATACAATACATACATTGCTAACCGTACTGTACAGGTTTGCTATATTCCCCATAGATAGTATCCAAGTACCTTTTTGACATCCAAAATATCGTTGGACTAATTCAATGAGGTCAAAATATTTCTTCATTGTTTACACAGGTGACTTAAACTTGATTTAACCAAGTGACTTCTTTTTTTTTTAATTTCACCAAAAATTATTTAACATTTGACAAAATTAAATTCAACCGGTTAATTAACCGTTAAATTTAACTCAGGCCGGCACTATAAATTTGGGCAAAACTAGCGAAATATTGTAATTGCAAAATAATTTTTAATTCTGCCCGAAAATTAAATTTCGGCCAGAGTTAACATGAGTTATTTTAACCGGTTAAAAATTAACCTGGTCCCAACCTCTAAATTGAATGCGTGCGTGGGTTAATTGGATTGAAGAATAAATCTTATTAAATGTTATGAATATAAATATTCTAGCGATATGTTCAAGAAGTTGTACTAACTTTGGAAAATTCAAAACAACCTTTCGTGTTAAAACATCACTCTTAAATAAATATTTCGTGAGATAATTACAAATTAAATGTGCGCATAAGTTGACAAGCCATTCCTGCATCACTACTAGCAAGCAACAACAATAATGCCACATCCAAACAACACCACCTCCTCATATAATACTTAAAATGATGCACAATGTGTTCTTCAAATAATTCCATTGAAATTATCATCATCACAATACCAACTTCAAAAATTAATTTGCTCCATTAAGTACTTCTCCATCATCAAATGACGTATTATTTCTAATAAAATCTATATCAAAAAATGTAAGTATTGAATCTTTAAAATCTCCTACACATTAAAGTTATCATATTTTTAGATGCATCATATTACGAAATTTTAAATGCCAAAAACTTTAAACCAAAATTGTAATACTTTACAAACGCATAATATAATAAAAGGATTAATATGAAGAATAATTATCATACACTAATTAATGTAGTTATTTAGTTCATTGAATTTCTTTCATTTGTAAAATTTATTTCATTCATTTTATTATTTATTAAAATGAATAAAAATAATAAGTATAATAAAGGATTGATAATTAATAATTAATATGAAAAGGATAAAATAAATATAAAAAATAAAAATAAAGAATACAAATTTACTTTTCTTACAATTTGCTAAAACGATAGATAGAACATTTTATATATAATATGGGAAGAATAAGTTCCTTACTCCTTCTATTGATAATATAAAATGTATATGCATAACAGGTAATGAATCACGTTATATAAGGAATACAAAAAATGGTTTGTTTAGACTTTTGAATTTAAAGGAAATAATTTTCTAGGTTATTGGAATATAGGAAAAAAAACTGTTTGTTGTGATTGTAATAAAAGAAGACTTAAGATGAAAATAAGAAGAAAAGTTGAAGCGGTAACTGCTTACGAAACGATAAACAAGTGAAAGAACATAAGAAATAAACTACAAAAGATCTGTTAATTTTCTTTTTTCTCGATTGTTAAGATATTTCCTTTGCCAATCTGACTTTTCAAGCTCAGACATTCCTTTCCATATTCTGCTCACATCTTTTATATAATCAGCAATTGGAACATTAGCCGGCCTTTTCTTCATCTTCTCCTTTCGAAAGGAGACGAACATGTTGGGTTCTCGTTTTCTATGTTGTTTTTTGGAATCATGGTAATCCTGGGATGTATAAAAGATAATTTGTAATTCGTTCATTTCGTTCATTATTGAATATTGGAAAATTGGAAATGAAAATTATTAATGAGAAGGAAGAAATGACAATCTAACAATAAAGGTTTAATTATTATTATAAAGGTTATTGCCAGTTGGTTAGAATCATAGAGGGAGGCAGACTTGTTCCTATTACCTTAGTATTTATAAGTTACGAAAACTTAAAATCCGTACAAACATTTACGTGAATTATAAATATTACCTCCCAGTTTGTCTAGTTTGTCTCCCTAGAAACCGGTTTGTTGACGCATACATGTTCCAATTATTCCAATTACAATAATAGCATTTTTGAAAACTTAAACACGGAGACTCATTCAATGAAACAGATTGAGGAATTGTATAAAATTTACTGTCCTCAATCAAATAAGAAACTCATGCAATGATTTGTGATATTGTTTATATTAGTTTATATTGTTTAATTCAAAGTATATTTATTAGCGAATATATAAAACTTTATTTATTTTTAATATATATTTATCCACTCTATAGTATTTAAATTAAGAATTAATGAAGGTATTTAAATATTGTTCTGTTATAGAAAATTAATAAAAAAGAATTGGTGCTACAAATATCGTGTGATATTGTTTCATTTGCAGTTCCTGTTGGGAATTTTAGTATGCTTTGAAACTTTAAAGTGCATACGTCATCTGAAAGTAACAAATCAAAAATTTTCCGACAGAATCGTGATCACTCAAGTGATAGTCTATGGAACCGGTGATGTTTACTTTCTTTATTAATGAATTGCAATGTAAACAAATACAAAAGGATGAAACGTTGTACATCATCTTGATTATACTTGATTTTTATTATAAATGAACTTCTTTTTTTCATTTATAAACGAATCCGGTCCGTAATTCCGAAGTTATTTATTTTATACGGAGATGTATACAAAAATGCTTAGATCAGTACTATTAATTGAGAAATCACGATTTTGTCGGAAAATTTCTTATTTGTTACTTTCAGATGACATGTCATTTTAATTAAGTTTATATTAGGAAGATTGTTAGGAAAATCGGGTTCTGAGAATCTTTTTATTTCATCAAAAAAAATTCTCAGAATCTACAATCTTCCATATTGTTCACAATGAATTTTTTTCATCGATTCTTTTAAATTTAGAAAATATTAAATTTTATATATATAGAGATATCCAACTATATTTAGGACTTGATAATTTATTATTTTATCACTATCGAATGAATAAATTTATATTTATTAAATCCAGAAATCTTATAACAATCATATTACGTAACACAAGCTCCCATTGTAATAATGAGTATCAAATGATCTTTGCCGCCAATTACTTCTGTATCACTCAAATAATTTCAAATGTAAACCATATTCGGTTAAGTTAATATAAAACTTGTTTTTGTAGAATATAACTGTGTATTCTCAACATTAAACTTTAAACTCGTTTACAATCAAATGACAAATCAAGGCAGTTTTTTAAAAATATACTGATAACTCCAAAAAAAAATCATTTTTTATTTAATTTTTGTGCAACTACTCTATCAAATCTAACACTTTTAAACCTTATATTTTCAATACTTTTATGCGCAGCTCTTTATGTGTAAACGAATAAAATGGTAAGCAGAAGGTTTAATGTTTTGAATTTAAATTTATTAATAATATCTAATACACCCTCGGTGCTCTATACTATCAGATACGTTTTTTAAGGGAAAGGGGAAATATACTTAATGTTCCATATCCTTAAATATTCATTCAAGCGAAATCCTAACTCGAAAATTAATAAGGACTTATTGTCCACTAGATATTATGGCCTCAGAAAATATTGGCCACGAAATATATTGGCCAGGAGACCTTATTGGCCGTCTAACAACATGCTATTATTTTAGAACAAAATTTCTCGAAGACAATAAATAACAAATTTTAATAATAATTGTAACAATACTCAGGATAAACATTCGCAAGTATTCCATTCCATTCACCTCTAAGGGAAATTACCCTGCAATAAACCAAAAGGATTAAAAGGATTGTTAAGAAAAAATTAGAAAACAGAACGTCAATTCAAAATTTCGTTTTCAAAAGATGGAGTAGTTTATAGCATTGAGAAAAGTCTTGGTAAGAAAATCATAAATCATTAAAATTTCATTATATCTTTAAGATTAATTCATTTATACAGTTTAGTACATTATGCCTTTATAAAACTAATTAATTTATTATATATCATATATGTGTATACAGTAAGCGTTACAATACAAGATTATGTTCTTTTTTTAAGAAAATTTATTCAAAAAAATTTTTGTTAATTAATTTTTTAATTTTTTATATAAATGACCACCTAAATTCGAGGGATTGATACCCTAATTTTTTTTAATATTTTAAATTAAGGTGACCTTTGAAAGAAATAATAGAAATAATGTATTTATTTTATTTTATAGCTGGAAATGAATAGTGCAATAATAAATCAAACAGTTCATTCAGAATTTGTTCTTTATATTCGCAAGTATAATTTGTTTTAGCGTTGTTTTTTTTTGTATTATACGCATCATGTAGCTAAAATGGCATGCAAGAAATCGTTGTCAAAATCTTTTTTTTATTATTTATCAATAGGTACTTATGGGGTTTTGTATTCAATTTGCCTGATTTTTCTTAACAACGTCACAACGTCTTTCTTTTTTCTATTTGAAACAGTTCATGACGATCCCAATTTTATTAATGACACATATGATACATGTAATATTTCAAATTTGGATTTTAAATGAATTCGATAAAACGATACTTATAAGAAAATTGAATGATCATTGTTACGTCAAAATCGCAATATATTGATCTTCCTTTCGTGTGTTTTGTATAAAAGAGATCTTTGGTGATACGACATTTTCTTTATTTTAGTGTAAAAAAAAAATAAATAGACATAAAGATCAGCTGCCTCAAACACCCCGGCCAAGAGTGTTCATGAGAAGGGCACCTTTTTTGCGGAAAACCACCCTACAAAACATGATGGGTTAAAAGAATGCTAAAAAAAAAAAAAAAATGTTATTGTCCGATCAAATATTGATCGACAAGACGTAAGTACTGTAATTATTTATATACTGTGATGTTTCGGATCAAATATCCGTTTCTAAACATTATAAATACCCTACCTCATCCCATTAACATTATAATTTGTAAATAAAATAATCGTTAACCTTTTTTATAAAATATATATATTTTTTTAAAAATAAAAATAACAATAAAAAAAGAAATATATAGCTTTCTTGAATATTTAACTTCTTCAACTCTCTTTCTTTTATTTTTTTATTTTACAACATTTTTTGTCAAGAATAACGAAATTAAATATATTTCGTAAATTAACATACTTTTTCGAAATGGCAAATAACCGAAATTCTAACGTTTCTAATACCGGCAGTCATAAAACACGTGGAACTCATGCGCGTGTCTCTAGAGTAAAGGTGACAACAGTTGGAAAACCTTGTTTATCCGAAAAGCAACTTAAAAGTTGTCCAAAGTGTAATGAGTCTGCAAGTAACGTGAAAATTCTGACGGCAAGTATTGGAAGAATTGATTGTTTGGTTGATGCTTTAGCTGAAACTACTCAGAATTTAACATCAATGTCGAAGGTAATAAACAAACTTCGATTATGATCAAATGTAATGTTAAAAACGTGATTTATTTTATTTATATTTTTTTTAAATTTTTTTTTTTGTGTTTAGCGAGAGAGTCGATTCGCTCAACATTCAAGGTTTGGAGGATTAGATTTAACACGTTGTAGCCTTCAAGAATTACAACAATTGGTAGTAGCAACGACGAATATCATGGTTCTCTCAAATAACAAATTAAATAACCCCCATCCTTCCATCACTTCCGATAATCTTAATAATGATAATGCTGCCGAAAAGGTCACTTTACATTCCGAACCTATTGAAGATGTAAGTGTATTTCAAGAAACAAGTTCTGCACTCCCGTCAAGTCCGTCAAGTCTTTATAATATCACTTTGTGATTGTTTTAATCATTTTGCATCATATTTTTACATTCCTCCAATATAATTCAATTATGTTGATCACTATTTTAAACCTTTTTTTTCATCCGTTCATATATATATACATATTTTAAATACTTTCCTTTCCTCTCTTACTCATATAAAAGTGAAATTTATTGTTAAACTTATAATCAATTATGTATACATTATATATCTTTTTTTTTTAAAAAAAAATTGACTTGAACGATCATTTTTTTTTGACTTCCTTTCTTGTAAGATCTTTTATTATAAAATATATTTCGCTATTGAATTTCCATTTTCTTTTTCTAGTTAAATAAATTTAATGTATGAGAATTTAAAAAAAAAAAAGTTTTTTTTTCATTGTTGCTTGTGAAAATTATTCTAAAACAACGAATCTCTCGGAACCACATCTATTTTTTTTTTCCTTATTTTTTTTTAAAAAGAAAGTATAGATCAAATTTGTACTTGCTCTAATTTGTAAACTTACTTTCATTTAAGGAAGTTGACATGCAAAAAAGCATTCCGGCAGACTTTTGAGAAACTCCATCACGTGACATTTCCAAAAAAAAATAATTTAACCGGTTAATTAAACGGTTAAGACGCTTATCTTGTTAATCTGATAAAATTAAATTTTTTTAAAGGTTTTAAGATTTTTTTTTTGTAATTACAAAAATTTCACTAACTCCGCCCAAATTTATAGTGTCAGCCTGAGTTAAATTTAACCGGTTATTAACCGGTTAAGTTTCTTATTTACATAACATCTCTAAGTTTCAAACATCCAAGTAAATTATTTTTTCTGATTTAAAGAAATAAACTAATAATTATGATTATATAAACAAAATATTGCAAAATTATTTTCATCAAATACTTTAAGTCACGGGTCTCGGGTCTGTCAATAACAGGAGTGGAGTCAGGTGAAGCAAATGATTGGAGTATTTCACAAGTATATTTATATTTTTTTTGCATGTGTAAGGTTGGTGGCGCAGCAGTTATTTGTCACCAATGTGACACCAGCAGGGTGGACATACTTCATATTATCACATTTGTTGATCATTTTGCCGATCATTTGCCGATCATTTGCCGA